GTGGAAACTTAGTTATGGAAATTCTGGTGATAAGGTTGGAACAATTTTATGGTAAGTTGAAGATATGGAAGCAAATGAGAGAAGGATTTTTGTTAGCTGCTTTAATTCTGTTCTGAAGTCTGTCTGTTTAGCATAGATGTGGTTAGTACATGACTACATAGGCAAATAGAAAAGCTATTGCATAATCTGTTTCTTCTTCTAAGGAGGAAAAAAGTGTTAAATTGACATTTCAGACTGATCTGTTCTGCCAGCAGCTGGAATGGGATCCATTAAATCAAGGAAATGAAAAGCACTGCTGTTGTATGTTGTTAAAGAAATTACTAGTATGGTAATACCAAGCTGTAAAGATACATTATAGAAATGGTTGGAATTAAATTTAACCCCATTAAAGCAAGGGCATTCAGTGCTGCATTATTGATATGCATAAAAATTACACAGGAATGTTTTTCATTACTGCTAAGAAGTTTAGTAATGACAGAGTGTAACTCAATCAAAAGTAAACCTTCATTAAAGAAGATACTGTGATTGTGAAATGTTACTAGTCTTCTGAAAGTTAAATTGAAGTATTGTTTAATTACCATTTAAACTGCTGGGCAGATTAATTAGCTGCTTTTCCCCACTTCAGTGGTGTGCTTTCATTCTTGGTGGTCTCAGTGTGCTTGCTGGAAAACCTGAGTTGTCACTGTGACAGCTGACGCTATGTTTTCTACAAGCTACTTCTGGTTTACCATTTCCCACACATCTTGCTCTTCTGAGATGTTTCCCTGAAGCAGCGCTGGAGAGGAGATGATGATTTCTGATGGCACTGTCATTGACTGGCATTGATCCAACAGTGTTGGGCAGGTGCTCTGTAGCAGGTCCCTCAGCTGCAGCCAGCACTGTGTCTGCAGGCTGGGAGTGGGTTTCCAGCTGGGTTCAGGGTGCTTCAAAAGATGTATAGAGAACAAGGGGGAGGAGATTTCAGAAGTGAATCTGTGGGAGATCTAATCCCTCTGAGAAGGTTCACTTCCTATTAACATCTCTATGGAGCGGAGTGCTTGCAGTATACACCAGTGCCAGTGCTTTGGAGCTGGCTCGCAGCTCTGCATGGGTGAGTGAGGAGGAGGGAGAGCTGGACTCTTAGGGCAGCCAGCCCAGCCTTCAGAGCGAGGAGGGGAGACCTGCTCCAGGCTCAGATGGTGTCAGCTCTCCTGCCTCACAGCAGGGATGCTCAGCTGTACAGGCAGGCATCCTCTCTTATATCTGGCCATGGCTATTGGCAGTTTTGTGGGCTTGAGTGGGAGCAACATGCTAACAGTCTGAGGATGAGTTTCTTTGCTGCCAGAGTGGCTTGGTTAACATAAGATTTGGGAGCAGAGGGGGAGGCAGTGTGGGGTTTTTTGTTTAAAATGAGAAGATAGACTAGATAGTGACGTTCCTTTTTTTTTTTTTTTCTTTACTCTTTCACAGCTCCAAATCTGCATAATGTATACAGGCATTTCAGAATTGTTCAGCTTGCTGGATGAGAGCTGTATCTTTTATAAGAGAGAGGAAATTGTTTAGGTGCAGTAAGGCTCTGTTTGTTCTCCCATACTGTCCCATACCTTGTTTCATAAGCAAGGATTCCCAGTGCTGGGATCACTAAATGCCCTGGAGAGGAATTGACAGGGCCTGCTGGTGGTCACCACAAACTGCAAATACCATGTGCCCTGCAATGGGCATATTACCAAGACACTTCAGCTGTGTGCAGCTCCTGTGGCCCAGGGGTCCACCGTTTGTTAAACATCATATGAAATGCATTTCCTATTATTTGAAGCATGATTGAGTGGTATCTTCCTTGGTTGCCTCCTATTTCTTGTTACTGTGGGGAACAGAGAAATATTCTTTATTCAGTCTTTGTGTTATTTTCAAATATGAAGCATAATTTGGAAGGCGTCAGCTTCCTCTTCTGTCATCTGTTTCCTTTCCAAGTTCATCTGTAGTTAAAACTGGTACCTTCTACCAGATTTATGTTCCCTGTGCTGCCTTTTATTGTTCCGCAATATCTTTGGGTAGGACAGCCAGCGCTGCATTAGTCAGATATTAGAAAAATGATGTATGTGTCTTTGGGAGGAAAAAGGATGACAAGTGAATTCTCTGCTAATTCTGAAGAGGTCAATGCGAAAGAAAATAATTAAAATCTGTTGTCTTAAGTGGACTTTTATTCAGGTTCAGAGTTGTACATTCTGAGGGCCAAGGAATTCTGGCCTATTTTTTTGCTAGTCCAGCTTCTTTTTGTGCCCACTGGAGAAAACATTTGGGCCAGTATTGAATCTTCTCAGCTTTTTTGTTACATGTTCTATCCTAGAGGTAAATCAGATACTTAAGGGGCACTACATAAATGCTGTTACTTGAAATCTAACTAGCCATTGATTTAAGACTTTTTTTTTCTTGTTATTGCGCAGTTTTATAAAGAATTTATCACTTCAGCATATGAATATTTACAATATGCATATGCTACATACCTTTTTTCATGCAGGACGTAAAATGAAGGGAGAGCAGTATTATCACAAGATACTATTCTGATTAAATTATGCAAAAAAAAGAACATTACCCATTAACTACTTTTATTCTATTTAGTGATTATTTTTTTTTTAACTCTTGTAATTCATAACTGCATTAGATAAAAAGAGATAAGTAAAAATAGATATGTAAAAGAAGCTGAAATGTTTTTTTTTGTTTTCCTGTGCATGTTTGGATCTCTCTGTGAAGACTTACCTTCTTTGCTGTTTATACAGCAGCATCATTGAAGTAGTAATCAAGAAAGGGCTTAACTTTGGCATCAATATTTAATTGCTTCTGGAGAACATTGCTCACGTATCACTTGCTGCATTACTTTCCCAGCAACAGAATAGTTCTTTTATTTTCTGTTAGGGTACTGTGATGATGAGCCTGCAGCTCAGGGTTCTTTGTGTGCTCACTGCTCCTCAGGGCTGCATGCTTCGAGGACTGCAGAGCTCAGCTGGTAGGACCTGCTCAATCTGCCTCACCTTGTGCTGCTCCCGCATATTGCACCAGGCATATAAAGTCTCACTTTCACTGTCAGCACCTTCTCAATGCCTCTGTCAGAGGCTGTATTCATATTTGCACTTTTTAGCTTGTCTAGTAGCTAGCTTTTTAGTATGTAGGTATTTTTGTACTTGAAAGATTTGGGATATTCCTGGAATTTAAAAATATTTTTGTTTAATTTACCCTACCATATTCACACTTTTTTTTTTTTTTTTCTTTAGATTTTAGGTATATGTTTTTAAAATCCCTCAAAAGCATGAAATATTTGTTATCTTCTGAAGAAAATTGAGGAAGTAGGCACATTGTTGAAATGCTGTGAATTATGTCTAATCAGATCCTGGAAGCGGAAGGGACTTTCTTATGTGGACTTCAGGATCCTTCCTCAGTCCCTCAGATACAAGCTTGACCCTCAGTGATAGAATAGGCTTGTAGGAAAAGTGGCAAGGAGAAATCTAAGCAGTGAGCAAGAGGAAAGAACTCTATTACAGAATCACAGAATGGCCTGCGTTGGAAGAGGGACCTCAAGGATGATGAATCTCCAACCTGCCTGCCACCTGCAGGGCCACCAACCTCCCCATTTAATACCAGACCAGGCTGCCCAGGGCCCCATCCAATCTGCCCTTGAACACCTCCAGGGACGGGGCTTCCACAACCTCTCTGGGCAGCCTGTTCCAGCACCTCACCACTCTATTACAATCTTCTCTGAGTCTCTTAATTCCCTATTGCGTTCTAAGTCAGCAAAATTTCAACTTTAACACCACTAGCTCTAATCTTCTTCATTCATATCACCAAAAAATGACTTTATTTCAACCAAGCAAAGATTCTCGTGGCTAAATATATATGGTAGGGAAGATGTATTTTGTGGTGCAACATGAAGCCCTAGCTTCAGAGGTGAAACCTCTAAGCAGAGTCAAATGATCCCACTGAGAGCATAAGGCCATACAGCACCTTGTGGGTGACTTGTCCTCAGAAAGAGCAGTCTCTTCTGCAATGTTAAAGGAGGCTGAGTTGTGCCGATGCTAAGTATACCTGTTTGATAGATACCATAGAATCATAGAATGGCTTGGGTTGGATGGGATCTTGAGGATCATCTATTTCAAACCCTCTGTCATTGGTCATTCAGAGTTGTACACAACAGATCACTGAAAAAATTTCAATTTTAGAAAAATCTGTTTTTCACAAAGAAAATATTTAGTATATAATCTTAAAAATCAGCTCTAATAAGATGAGATGATACCACACATGCGTCTTGCCCACTGGAAAACCCCTTCCAGTCAGTGCTATAGGTGCAGAAAATTGCAAGTGATTGCAGATCTGGTGAAGGCTTTTGATTAATTAAACATGGTGAAGAGGTGTGCAGGAGTAGGGTTTCTCAATCATGGAGGCTTTGCACCACAAATTTACCAAGGAGACTTTTGTACTTGAAGATGCATTCTTAGCTCATCTGAATTTATTGCCAGGAACAGCAGAGGTGGAAGGGAAAACTCCTCTTTTTCGTTACTTTGGTTAGGCATGATTTATAAGTAGTGCATAGAGAAGGAGGATGATTCCTTCTAGTAATACGACGTTGGATAATGAACTGAGCATATTTGCCTTTCAGATGGAATAGGAAACAACTTTGACTTTGACTGCATAATAAAAGGAATGTGGAACTGGACTTTGCTTGGCCTGAGTAAGGAAGTAGTCCATCAAGAAATTTTTTTTTTACTGTGATTTTTTTAGTTTTCCCTGAGGGGAAAGGAAGAGTAGTTTTTTTAAAAAAAAAAATCTGTCATTTCACTGGCATCTGGCTAAAAAGCTGTTAAAGCTTTGAAGATAGAGAATGGAATGATCTTTCATTGGGTGAAGAAAAGGTTTATGTACTTACAAAGCAATGAATTCCATTAATACTGTGGAGGGTTAGTAATTTAAATTGGGCAGTATCTGAATTTAAAATATAATTTATTACAATATTTTGTCTTCTTTCTTTACAGGTTTGCTGATCCTCTGATACATTTCAGAATGCCGCTGGTAAAAAGAAACATAGACCCCAGGCATCTGTGCCACACAGCTCTGCCCCGAGGAATCAAAAATGAATTGGAATGTGTCACCAATATCTCCTTGGCAAATATAATCAGACAACTGAGCAGCTTAAGTAAGTACCTTGTCTCAATATACCTGAGCTGATACATTGTACGTACGCAGTTTCTGTGGCTGAAATATGAATTCTTTTTTCAAATTCCTGGTAGAACATTCTGGCTGAGCCTTCAATCTGCTCCTTTCTGACTAGCAACTAGCTCTGACTTCTGTGGAAGGAATTTTACAAGTAGCATATCTCAAAACTCAATTTCTGTTACCGGTAGAAATGACAGAATATGATATTTGGTAGCTAATAAAGTTAGTAATTGCTAATTTTGGAACAATTATTGACTAAGGAATATGGCATAATGAGGAATATACCACTTTTTTTTTTTTAATGCTTTTTGTTGTCAGATTGATTGTGTTGTGGTCATTACAAATAGAAAGTAGTAGTCTTTTAAAATTAATTAAATTAAAATTAAAACCAGAAACATAGTTGTTACATAGGATATCAAGCAGCTAAAAATTTTATCTCCTTATTTGTCAACAATTTTTCCCTCAGTGCATCTTTTAAAGGATTGAATTCTTCTCAAGCCCTGCAAGTCTGAGGGAGTTTTTCTGAAAAGGCTGGTTTTTGGTTTTGTTTTGTTTTCTTAAAGTTACAGCAACTTTAAAAACATGTTAGGTGTACCAGCATAGTAGTGTTTTGAATTTCCAGTACTGCAGTTGTTTTTCAATCAGTAGGACACTAGTATTTTCCAGCCTACCAACACATTAAATATTAAAATGTGCATGCATATACATCCATAATGTGAAAAGCCTTTCAGCTCCATCAATATCTTAGGACCATAGGTGATGTAGCCTAATTTGTTAATTAGATTGATTTAGTTATTGGTTTGAGGGTATACTGTAGAGTGCTGTGCTTTGGCAGCCTTTCAAAGCTGTTAGTCTCTTCAGCCTAATAGGACACTCACTGAGGACACTGAATTATGTAATTGAGACAGGAATGCTTCCAGCACATACATATGAACATTATTAATGCAGCTGCTACAACAGCAAAGAAAAAAATAGCTGTTTAAATTCCTTTCAGTGAACCAAGAACATATCAGATTGGGATTCAGTAGATGTTCACCATGCATGGTCTTGAACAACCAATCGCTTAGATTTTCAGTTTTAAAGAACACCAACTTCCAACTCAACAGAAGTGGTGTCAGTGCTTAGCTTTTTGAAATTTGGCTGCATTTGCTGTAGTTTCTTGATTTTTACAAACGTCATGCCTGACACTGTTTTTACAACTATTCAGAAAGAAGGTGGGGTGAAAAGAACAGGTTCAGTTGTAAGGGACCTACACAGATCATTGAGTCCATCTGTAAGACTGCTTTGGGGCTGACCTGAAAATTGCAGTATATTAAGAGCGGTATCTGAATACCTGTTAAACAGTACCTAAAGGTAAGTACTGGGCATAAAACACTTCTCTAAGAAGCCTGTTCTAGTGTTTAGCTACATTTTTGGTGTCCAGAATGAACCACTCATGACATAGCTTTGTGCCATTTCCAAATGTCCTGTCACTAGATACAAGAGAGAAAAGATGAGCACTTCCTTGTCCACTTTCCATCCTCAAGAACTTGTAGAGAGCAATGAAACCACGACACAACCTCATTTCCTTCAAGCTTAACAAACCCAGTGTTCTCAGCTGCTCTTCATAAGAAGCAGTACTGCAGCAGAATGAACTTGAGGGATAAAATTAAATCCACATGTATTGCATTTTTAAGGATAGCACTTTCAAGGGAATGTAACAGTAATTATGTAAACTTCTTTTTTTCTAAGAGGAGCGTGTGTCTACATGAAGTGTGCATAAGTAGTGGTGAGCCCTAAATTAGCTGTTCACACCTGGGAGGGGTTCCTTTTATGACCTTGTGGCTCAGTAGTGGTCAAAAATACATGGAATGCTGGAGATAGCAAGAAATGCAAAAGAGGAGGGAAAAGGTACTAGTTTACAGAAGCAAGACCAGTGCAGGTCATTCTGATTATTATTTTTTTAATACATACAACTGATGAGCATGAGCTGTAATTTAGCTTCTTCTTCTTCTTTTGAAATAGCATCATGTGCTTATAGTTTTTTTTCTATGGCCAGTATGTATACTGACTGAATTATTGAATTATTAATGTTCCTTTTTGCAGTTTAATACAATCAACTGATTCAGTTTTTCAAAGTGTAAGTTTTTGCTTTATATTGTGTGTATCTTCAATAAAAACATTTTAACTCTACAGTTAAATAGAAACCGTTCGGCAGAATTAACGTTATTTCTCAGCCACATTAAGAATTGCTCTACAAAAACAGATGTCATGTTATAAAGGTATGAGTACTTCTGAAAATATGTTAATCCAGAATTCTTTTAGTTTTTCTGACTGTTTGGGCTAGTAGTACTATGGATTCAAAAAGATTTGAGAGTCCTTCTGGCTTAGGAACATTGTCTCTTAATTGCTTTAATCCAAATAACCAGTCTGTACTTTGTTTTTCACTGTTAGTGGTATTCAGGGAGGCCTGCTGACATGCAGGTAAATTCTAGTAGCCATCTGAGTCGTAGCCAGCTGACATAGTTTTGCAGCAATGCCTTGGCAACCAGCTTCTCTGCAGTCCTTTCCATCTTGTTTTCTGTTGTTGACAAAGCTAGATTTCTCTCTGAGAGCTGAAACTCTGTGTTCTGTAGAGCCTCATCTTCTTTAAACTAAAGCTGCTTTTGCTTTTCACAGTAAAGTTTTGCAAATTGAAATGAATGTTTTTTAATCTGATTGGCAGTTTTTCATTTCTGCCTCTAAGATTTTTCTGTTACTGACTTTCAAACAGGATTAATCTTCTGCCATTAGACTCTCAGAACAAAGCATTATTAACCTTTCTTCTGATATGATTTGGACAAATAGCACTATGATGAAATCAGAGATTTCAGTGCTTATATGATATAGAAAAACAGTATTTAGAAAAGCCAAGTGTATAATTTTGTCATTTATGCAGTTTAGTCTCCATTCCTAGAGATGTTCACAATAACTCAACTGAATTAATCCAGCAGGTGGATCTCATTAGACCTACTTTTCTCCTTAGTGCCGGTGAGGCCTCATTTGGAGTTCTGCATCCAGATGTGGAGTTCTCAGTACAGGAGAGACAGACATGTTGGAGTGCATCCAGAGGAGGGCCACACAAATGATTCATGGAATTGAATGCCTCTACTACGAGGGCAGGCTGAGAGAGCTATGGCTGTTCAGCATGGAGAAGAGAAGGCTGCAAGGTTACCTGATAGCGACCTTTCAGGATCTAAAGGGGAGCTACAGGAAAGAAGGGGGACAGAATCTTTAGCAGGGTCTGTGGTGACAGAACAGGGGGAAATGGCTTCAAGCTCAAAGGGGGGTAGATTTAGGTTGAATAAATGGAAAAAATATTTTATGGTGAGGGTGGTGAGGCATTGGAACAGATTACTTGGAGATGTGGTTGAGGCCCCATCACTGGATACTTTCAAGGTGAGGCTGGATCAAGGCCTGGGAAACCTGATCTAGCTATGGTGCCCTCATTCATAGCGGATGGCCTTCAGAGGTCCTTTCTAACTCTAAGGATTCTGTTATTCTATTTTGAGCAGTGTGTGGGATCAGCTGACATTCAGAGGTCCCTTTCAGCCTCAACCATTCCATAGTTTTGGATGCTATTTGCAAGTAGAGCATGCCTGCAAAAACAATTCCTGTAAAATGACTGGCGTTCTGTGAGGTTGTTTTTTGTTTTAATATAAAATTAAAAGAGCTTTACATCAGTATGTGCCAGCTGCTGCGCATCTCTGTACAAATTCTTAATCCTTTCATAGTTTGTTAGTTGTATTGCTTTTAATTGTTCAAGTTGAGAAAACTTTTGACCTTAAAAAAAAAAAAAAAAGTAGAAATGAAAGAACATAAATAATTGTATCTTCTTTGAGTGATAAGCCCTGCCTTTCCCCCTGGAGCATAAAAACACATCAGTCTGCCTTGATCCTATAGTCAAGATTGCCAGCAGGTATTTTTTTTTTCTCCTGTCTGTTCCCAGCTTTCTCTAACTGCATAAAAAGATCTGTCTTCTGACAGCTTTTCTGAGTGCTGTGGCAACAGAAACTCCCTGGACAGCAGCAGTAGCTGTCTGTTTCCTATCTGTTCCTTCCTGTATTTCTTGCTTTCTGATCATATCTGTTTTAGATAAATGCTTACCTACTTTTTTAGCAATATTGCAGATGTGTTAGGACTCCAGTACTGCCTGTGTTGATGTATGTCAGCCTATCATGTGTGAAGCATAACTGATATTGCTGTGCAGCTGTGCTGTTGTTAGAGGATGGATAAATAGTTCTCTTGTGTGGATGCAACTTTCTTGTTCCATTTGCAACTACCAGCCAATCTTGTTTTTCCTTTTATACAGCTGTTCTCTGCAGACAAAAAGTCTGTATCACATAAGGAACATAACTGATAGTGTGTTCCCAGTCTGACACTCCCATCTGGGGAGTGAAGTGTTTCTCGTTTTGAGTATTTTATGTGTTCACATTATGGATATTTATATTGCAAGCATTCGGACTGGAGCTTCTGTTCAGTCATAGCAAGCTGTCAGTTACCTTTTAATCTTCTACATGTGTATAAAGAAAGAGGATGCTGCTTAACACTGTTTGCTAAGTTGGAGTGCACTTTATGTTAGTGAAAACGGTTTTCAATTAATGTTGTACTTCAGTAGCCTTTCCCCTCTTCCTTTCTTTTCTTTTTATTGTTTCCGAGTTTTACCATGTTGTCCTAATCAGTTATTTCTTTTTCTTGCCCCTTTTCATAAATTTCTTGGAGTAAAATGCTTAATTTGAACATGTTCTTTCTCCCCCATTTCTTTCTCTGCTCAGACTCTGACCTGCTCCAAAATTGGCCTTTGCTTGTGTTTGATACTTTTGATACCCTGGTTAAGTTGTCTGATAAATGCCTGTAAGATATTATTCTTGGGCCAGATTTGCTGGCTACAGGAACCTGATTGTCTCTTCATAATCAGACTGTCCCATTACAGTCCTTACAGTAAGTCCTTGTGGACTGCTT